TTGTGTTTAATGGACCCAAAACTCTAACTAGAAAATTTTGACGAAAACAATTTTTCCTGCAACAGGGGTAGAAAGTAACAAAAATCATGTGACTCCAAACGAAAAAAAAACGACGCAAAATATTTACAGATAGATCTAGCGGTTGCTGTTCCAATAATTTTGTTCGTCAGTTTCGTTCCAATTTCTAATTTTACTGCAATCACACCTGACCAGCTGGGGAAGTCTGCAATGTCGTCTGTTTAATTATATTGGCCGAGAGTATAGTATCGTTTGTGACAAAAACCGCGCGGTTTCGAGTTACCGGTGACCGCAGAGGTTTGACCAAACTGGGCGACACGACGGTTACCGCGAAGTGGCGAAGTGCGTCACTCAGGTCTGGCAGCTGCGATTGCCGCTGATGTTATCAGGAGCATCTGACTGGCTTGCAGACAGAAAGTGTCCAAAATTGTACTAAAATGCCCCAGTGCAATCCTACAGATTATAACCAAATTTCCGTATTGGATTTTACTTATGTTTTCCTTTATGTCAGAATCATTCTCGATTTAGGCCTAAATAACATGAGGTTAAACTAATATGTTGCTAAAGTGATAACGTGCGTTTTTAATGACATCCTAATCCTAGCTTAGTAAATTTTTAAAATTGTTAGTAAATTGCTTAATAAATTGCAGAATTATATCAAAATATAATCTATATCCAAAACAAGGAAATTGAACCTACATCTTACGCATATACCTTGCTAAAACTTCGTTTTGTTTTCTAAAAAAATACATTCAATATTTTTTAGGCTCTACAAAATTGCTTCGAAAGAAAAAGCGATAGTCATGTTTTGGTGTATAAAATTGCGAAACCCCAGTTGTTATGCATATATCCCCCCCATAATTTAATACCCCCTTTCCCAAACTCCCAATAAATGGTCGGTGGGAATAGTTCCCGATTTTTGGTTTCTTTCGACCTCAAAACGTAAAAGTAAATCGGTCCTGGGTCTGTTTAGTTCTTATGAGACCTACGGCAATAGCTTATTCCGTACATGGAAAATACGCTGACACGAAACTATTAGTATATTGAACTATCACTAGGAAAATTTACACTATGGAAACTAAAAAACCTTGGGGAATATGTAAGGTTTTCACTAGATTGGAAAGGCTAGATATTTTATGTTGGTAGAAACGTAGAAACCGCGTAAATTGCTTGTAGCGTTTCTGGAAGTAATTCAGCCACACTTCCGTCCAATTGGAGAAATCCGATAGTCTGTGAGGCGTGGTGTGGCGCAATGTGTAGTGGACCAGGCAGGCCCAATTTGTTGTGATTGTTGTTATCATGCAACTCCGACCATTCACTATCCGGTAGGTCCATTTCGTCGTAGTTCAAGTATTTATGCTTTGTTGATTCTATGTTTAATGTTCATCAACTCAACTATTTACGTTCGAATGTTGCTCAATGTTTTGTCCCTGTGAGTCTTGGAAGCGTTGCACAGTTCAGGTGACTACAGGTACGACTATGACTATGACTCTCATTTCACAGCTTTCTCTAGAGGTCATAACATCAACATGATTGCCCGATACGACAGTTTCACCGCTACTGAACACCTTACACCTTACATTACACCTTACACGCCAAACTTTACACCTTATATGCTACACCGTGACTAACTATTTCACCGTACTAGAGTGAATACAATAGGTAATCTATAATTTTAGTAACCAGCGAAATAAACTAGCTACTTTAACCACCTCAAAATTGATAGACCGAATTGAACTGTTTAGATATTGCTGCCACATCGTGGATACGGAACATGGATGTAACGGACTACGGTTCTGTCACCGTCACTGTCACTGGATGAAGACGAAGATGATAATGCCGAAGTAGTATGACGATGATTTGAAGGTGACTGCGTTGATGTAATGATAACGACGATTACCAAGATGGTGAAACCCCAATGATGACGACGACTACGATAATGACGAGGACGACGATACGAAGATGATAACGATGATGGAGATGATGGTGATGATGACGACGAAGATGACGATGATGACGACGACGAAGAAGATGATGGCGTCAACGGAGATGTTTATGCTATGATTATTATGACTACAGCGACGACGATGACGTTGATGACGATGGTGACGAGGAAGATGATGGCGATTATGACGTCGACGGAGATGATTATGATGAAGACGACGACGATGACGTTGATGACGATGATGATGATTGGGATGACGTCGCCAGGTGTATTTTTAGCGCGCCTCGTGCCCCGACTGACCGATGCCGTTCACTACTGTACTCGACGTCCGCGGCAACAATTACTTTATGTGAAGTGGGTTTGTTTCGTCTTCTGTTTGCATTGTGTTTTCATAGTTTTTATTGTGTTTGCGCGCTTGTTGTGGGTCTGTTATTGGTGATGAACTTAGTGTGCGCTGTGCGGATCTGACGAAAAAGTGAAAAAAATATCGTTTGTGCTGTAATAAAAACTTTATAATTGACTGTAAGTGATTTTTTAAATTAATTTAGGTCTTTTCTTTTACACAGCTGAGTAGTTATTTTAACAGATTTTGTAGTTTATCATGAGGTTATCTTTAGTCCCAAAACCTTTAAATATTTACCCTCGGCTATTAAAAATGTAGGAGAAACAATTTTGTTGAAAAATTTCTTTTACGTTATGAATATAGATTCTGTCTTGTAAGTTGGTCAGATTTCGAACATTTGCATTTAAACCATTATCTCGATTCATCGTAACTTTGGTTAGTTACTTAGTCTTTACAGATTTTAGTTGATACTTTCAGATATTATATATGGAACATAACAGTGCTTGTATTGCTCTTATACATTAAACAAGCTATGTTCAATTAAAAACCCCAAAAAAGTGACGGATGGACTTACATTTTTTTAACGCATACTTAAATATTAAAATTGTTAACGTAAACCACTATGGTTTAGTCATTTCTGGTTGAATCTTGGATGAAAATGCAGATAGAAGTATCTGGTAGAAACAAGATGCAAGAATGAGAAATGGCCAAATTAACCATAGCTAATTAGTAATTGACCTATGAACTGACTACTCCCAGTTCCCTCTGTGAATTTAATGGGATTAGTTCTTCAATTGATATGTTTACTTATAGATATGGTCATTTTGTTTGAGTTAAGCCTCCGAATCACTGATCAAAACGTGTAGATTAAAGATATGGTCAGCATTAATTAAATCTATAGTCAAAACACACCATTATTTTTAAAGCAAGCTGTTGTTTGTAAATTTTAAACTGTGCTGTTCAACTGAAATGCATTTTAACTTATAACATTGTTGAAAAGGGAAATTTAGTACACACACTATAAGAGAAGAAACACTACATAAATAATCCATACTCTAGTACGAGCTATGTCTGTTTATCTGTCTGTTTGTAATATATATATCGAAATCCAGCGGAAGGATTTTGACAAAATTTCGGAATTAGGGACCTAGCATATATGTAGCCCTAAAACGTGATTGACGACCAGGGCTACAGATATACACATTAGATTGTATATCTGTAGCCCTGATTGACGACAGGCACTGCACTACCTCAGGAAAATTTTTATTTCGCTACACAACTCATTTGAAAATTTTCAAATTTAACAATGGCCTTATGAATAATCTATCTACAGTATCTATATATTAATAGGCAAGCATGTTTCTTTACAACCTTTTTTCTCAGCTCGTGTGCATCGCAGGGAAAATCTACACATACTGTTAGAAAGATATTTTCCTGTAGATATGCAGAATCCTTTTATAAATTAAAATAGGCTCAAAAACAAGCACAAAAAATGAATTTATTTATTTTTTTAATTAACATGGGTCTTATGGGTTACCATGCTGGGGACAAAATAACAACAAAATATAAACAGAAAATCAAAACAAATGGAAGAAATTCCAATCACATGTTTTTTCCCAATCAATGTAATGATGCATTTTTACAGGAGATAAACATGTAACGAAAACAGGTTATTTCACAGTAGTGTAGCTAAAAACTATTAAGGTTAATCAGTTTTGTAGTATTGTTGGCTTGTTACTTAAATTCACTAATGTGACTATAAAGCAGAAGCGATTGTTCCAGTTATTGTGTTTAGTCGAGTTTATTTCCAACTCAACAATGGCACTTCATTCACTGGCTTTGTAAGAAGTATATTAGGCTGAACCAATTTCCTAATCCATTTAATTTACTGTCTCAGTGATTCAGTTTTGTTACGAGAACGAACCATGTGACAATAAACGGGATAATTTTAGGTTTGGCAGGATGTAAGTTGTAAAACTAAAATTGAAGCATGGTTTAGCATGTAATACAATTACATAAGAGGTCAACGAGTTTCAATTAAGTTTTTAAGTTGTAAAGAATCTACACCCAATCATAAATTATATGCTATCTTATTTTTAAAAAACTATTTCAAAACTTATGACGCAGCCTTTTGATACTACTAGACCAATTTTATTTATTTTTATTTTTATTTATCTTTATTGTTTTTTCCATACAACAAACAAACACAAAAATACATTTACACAAGAAAAAATAAACAATAACCACCTTAGGTTTAAAACCTATGTCGGTGGATTTATACACTTTCTTAAATTCTAAAATATCGAAGAATCGGTCTAAGGAGAATTCTGAAACCTTATTGCAAAACTACATATTCAGACGAATCTTTTGACACCTTAAACGTTGAAATTGGTCCACAAATAAGGGAGGAGTTGCGTTAACAAAAAACGGCTTCACATATTATATATGTAGATTTAGCAGTTTCCAAGCATGTACAAATAAATTCTGTTTTAATAAAAAGTATGGGACAGCTATAGGTTGTTGACTTTAGTATCCAGAAGTCAATGGTTAGACCAACACTGAGTAGTCAAAAAGCATAATGTATTTTCACATCATTTAGAAAAATTACTTAAGGTGTTTGATTTTCTCATGAAATAAACTGATTTATAACTCTGGTGATTATTGAAGTTTACATGTCTATGTGTAATGTTGCAGGGTTGGCCGAGTGGTCCGAGGAGTCTGCTGCTGCGAAGGGATCATGGAGGCTTTGGGTTCACGCTTCGTCACTTCATCGTCTACCCTCCAGAGTCATACACGGTGAGTAAACACACCAACTGTTAGTGGGTTAAACTCTTGAGAGATGCATACGCTATAGGTATTGTCGTGGTGAGGTCTATAGGTTATCCACAGAGTAGTTTAGGCAGTTAACACAGTCGTTTGCAAACTCACAGCCCAAACGGTTTAATGATGACACAACTGCTGTACTTTCAGAGCACCAAATTGGGGTATGTCAATCAGAGGTTTAACTTAAATTCATTCAATTACAGTTTAAACTATTGTTATCTATCACAAACCCGGTCTTCAGCGCTCGATCGCATCGCAAACATAAACTTACAACCAGGAGCTGACGTGTTTTCTATCTCGTTGCAGAAAGCCATTATGTAGAGAAATTATGCCATTTGCAGAGAGCTACTACTCCCGAAGTAATTGAAATGAGTTCCAGGAATAGTGACTGACACCTGCTCCGATGATGGCTATCTTTAACACCCAAAATGTCAGCTTCTAGTTATAAGTTTATGTATATTGTTGTTTTTTGTCATATTTTCTACTTTTATCTTGTATGTTCAGGCAGTACAATTTTGATCTAAAGATTTTTCTATTGTAACAACATTTTTTGTAAGCTGTAGTTCTAAATACATTAACGCTTACATAATACAGTGTTGTTTATTCCTGTTAAAATCGGCTATACTGTCGAAAATAAATAAATAAAAATCAGTGATGCGAAAATAATCAACCACCTGAAAGAAATGTAATTTGCATAGTCTTAAAAAAGTTTCATCTGAGAAAAGTTTGTCCACCCTTCTTGAATAGTACCGAGTCATTAACGACCTAGGTGTTTATAGGTTAATCTAGTGAATGTTTTTGTTTTTACACACTGCCATCACATCTGATAGCTCTCTAGTGGTACACACAATGCAGTGTGTGTTCACAGACAGGAACTAATCATATGATAGGATCACTCTTTTGTTCTCCAACCTCTACAACACAGTTAATTGTTTCCAACGACTAACTGGCTACAACATAAATTGCATCTGACTTCCTAGTAATCTGGCTGTGTGATGATGTGGATCATCCCAGCTATCAGCTGTCATAAAAGACGATCTGGATGATTAATTTTTGGAGAATATTTAATTTTGCCTATGCCTAGAGAAGTCAGTTATAGAGGAGAGACTCAATGGTACACTTAAGTGGTGTCTAAGCATTAGTCGCTGGTGTCTTGAGCAAAGTCCAATACTGTCCTCCTCGATATCATGTACTACAACGCTCACAGTGGAGGAAGACCTTGTGACCTGTGCGATAGGATTTTCGCCCAGTGCTCACCATCGGGGGCTCTTCCTTGCTTTTTCACAATTACGTATATTTCTGGCACAACATACTAGAGCTAAAAGTGCACGGTTGTCCCATAAGCATATTTCCTCTGTACCTTACTTCTGCGTGCCTTTTCCTCGTTGTTTGGTTAAATAGAACCCATTGACCATTCGATAAAATGTCTTGGAAACTTTTACAATTTGGTTGAACTCAGTTGATTTGAATATTGCTTATTAATTTCCATTCAAACTTTTTACCTTTTGATCGATAAGAAAACTATGTTTTACTTACCTTCTTTATCAGACATGCAGTTGTTGTTTATTTAATCATTTTTCTCCAATGGCTAAAAAATCATATTTTGCTCAAAATCAAGCCTAATAGACTACGTAATTGATATTGCACTAAAATATTGAGTTAATAATTAAAGTTGACGTCTTGGAGCTGTTTTTACACGACCCCTGTGTTTACACATCGGCCTTGCTGCGAGTGTTTTGGACTTGGAAAATTTTAATGTAGTAATTTCTAAGATAGCTAGTAAAAATAATCCAGTTTAAAAAAAGTTAATGCACATCGCTGGTAGAAAAATCAGTGTTAGTTTGTTTTAACTCTACTGGACATATGAAACACAAATAAATATAATGGAACAACACAGTTTTTATCATCAGTTTTAACAAGTTTTTAGCAGTTGAACAGAGTGTTACCGCAATGTTAGCTGGACTTGTGAGCCAAGTTTATCAGTTGGTGCGAAACTCACCAGATGTCTGTTGTTAGGTCTAGGCTGCATTACAGTGTTGTTGTAAAGCTAAATATACCTGGACTGAGTCATCTACAGCCTCATACCAGTACAATGTGGTCTGGTTACTGGTCTGCATAATATGTGCGACGGTACAGTGTGCACTGATGCAATATTGAATACCTTTCACCAAGAGAAGAATAGAGTTTTGACTCAATATTTTCTAGTTTATTTCATTTAGTCACTTATTTTGTTTTTACAGCGACCACTTTTTATTTTGTAAGAAGTATTAGTACTAGTATTATCATCTAGTCAAAAATAATTTACTAAATAAGAATTTAGTAAGGGGAGCTCCCCCCCCTCCCCTTAAAGGGAAACCCCTATTTTCTTCAGCTATACATTAGAACCCCGGTTAACCGAAATAAAAGGGGGAAAGCCGGTTTCGGATAACCAATTTTTTGGTTAACCTATAATATGATAAAATTGGCGATGTATTACCATGGTTTGTAGGAAAAGCTAATTTTCGACAATGTATATATAATTCAGTGTTTTATTTCAGCTACAAAAATGTTACAATGGGTTAAAAAATACTTTAAACTAAACAACTGAAGTTACTAAACCATTTTACAGCCCTGTATTATTTTATGGAACCATTTCTGTTAACCCGGGTTTTGGTTAAGCCGGGTTTCGGTTAACCCGAATTCGGTTAACAGGGGTTCTACTGTATTCACTATCAGATTTAAACTAGAACTGGTTACATTTTCTTTTTATATACCACAGAACAATTTTTGGGTGTGACGCCTGGCAATAGTACACCATAAAACAATTTTAGGGTGTGGCGCCAAGGGGATGACTAAGATTGGTTGTTAACTCAGAAATGAACTATCAACAAACTTGGATAAAAGCAGTGTTATTGGGAATCGGAGAAATAGAGCAGATGCCAGGCGTAAACAGTCACAAGAATATAACCCAGGTAGTGCTGGTTAACAGATCTTCACCATGAGACTAAATATAACCATTGATATCATTCCTCATCAGCATCTTTAAACATTTTTCCTTTACAAGTCTTATCAAAACTGCATTTCTTTTACTTAAAATGCTAATTAGTTTTTGTCTTTGGGTCTTGGGGATAGTAGGTAGTGGTGCAAGCACATTTTGGGAGTTGCAAAATCAAGATTGGCAAATGCATGTTTCAAATATTTTTCAAACCGTGACCAATTGACAGCTTCAAATTTTTTTTAAATTACGAGTATGAAAAACTTGATACTGAAAGATTATTGCGAAAAATCAAAACCAACAACAGGAACACTGTCAAACATTATTCACTGTTGTGTAACACTGGACCTCTCAAAACTGAATGTTGACCAGAAAGTCATCCGATACGCTACCAAAACTGAACCGTAGATTAACCTAAATCAGAGCAGGAGATGTGATAGGCAGCTTGACAGGCTGAATGGTTTAATTGTACACAATTAGAGATATCAGAGCAACGGATTGGGCTGGGCAGTGGGCTGATTACAGTGGAACCTTGTCAAACGGTGATTAGTTTTTACCTTTTGTGATTGTGATCGCCATTGTGGAATTGGTAGGCTGTGTGTAGGATTGTTGAGTAGGTACTTTTAACTTTGCTTGGTTGTTATTTGTAATTATTCGTAGAGTGATGAATGTTAAATTTACTTTAAGAATGTAATCTTGAGAAAGGGCTTAGGTTTTAAGGATTTTTTAGGATAGCAGGCTTATCTGAACCAGAAAGAGTTGGGTAAAAGTAAATTAAACTATACAAAAGTTAGAATTTTTCACTGTCACCGATAGCATATTTTTTAAGGAAGAGTAGGATAAAAATAGATTGGACCTGAAGAAATCAAATTCTTGGTTAAACATTCTGTCAGTGGCTTAACTTTTGTGTATAGTGTAATCTATTTTGTGTTTTTTCCTGCTGGAGTTGACTTTCTCATACAAGTAAGCCTGTAATGATAAAAAAAATCCTTTTCACATACTTTGTTATTTAAATACTTTGTTATTTAGTTTAGTGCAACAATACAATCAAATTTCAGTTGTACTCACCATTCACGATGTATACTCAGACGTAAACTTTCTAAAGACTTATTGTCAAACTTTGCCGTGGTGTGCAGGTTCTGGCTGGAGACCGACGGCTGGGGCTGCGTCCTGGCGCACTGGATGAGCCGATGGACACCATCTTCGTGAGGAGCGTCAAGCCCGGAGGAGCTGCAGATCGCGCAGGTTTGCGTACAGGCGACCGCGTGGTCAGTGTCAACGGAGAGAACATCGGTGGTCACTCGTACGCCAGTGTGGTACATAGGATACACAACAGTGGGCCTTCCCTGCATCTGCTGGTGGTTCCTCAGCAGCTGGATATCCTGCAATTGGTGAGTCGTAACTCGGATATGCATGAAAAATATTTATTTTAAAATAGGATCAGTGATTAATTTGAACAAACCTGTAAACTCAATTATTCCATGTATCTTTTTTATATTCTATATTTATGAATCAGGAGGTAAGAGACACAGGACCAATTATCATTGGCATCCAAAACCCAGCCTTTAAAGTTTGTTTATTTATATGGAAAAGATTACTGGTACATTAAATTGTACTGTTTTTATGTGACGTAGAAACTATGGCTTTTACGGTCACTAACACTAACACTACAAACTTGGTGATCAAGGTTTGACCATGTTACAGACATAAAATGATAACTAGACGCTGACGTTCAGGCCTTGTTACAGAAAGCTATCATTGGAGCAGTTGTTAGGCACTAATAATGACAGTGCTAGTACTGCCTGTTGCTAGTATTGATAGTATTGCTCTAGTATTGAGACCACTAGAGCCCAATAATTTTATGTCTGTGACGTGGGGGAATGCTGAAGACCAAGTTTTTAAGTAATACACTAATTAGTTTTTATGTGTTTTTACTTTTAACAGATTAATAAATTTTGTAATTTCGAAATTATGATTTTACTAGAATCTAATGTACATAAAAGAAAGATCCTAACAACAGTTTGCATTTTGTAATTAAGTTTTATATATTGTAAAACGTTAGTGAATAGAAACATGAAAGGAAGCGATTTGTTGGCTAATGATTTTACTAATTTTTATTAATTTTACCAAAGTACAATTGTCTTAAAACAACAAACTATTGGAAATTACAATTTAAGCAGTCTAAGTACAATACCTAGAGAGTGTGTAAAAGTCTCATTTCAAAAAGTACGTTTTGTAATTAAACACAGTAATTTGAACTACAACTTAGACTTTTCAAAATTAAAGATTTCTTGCAGTATTGAATTAATTTATAACATTCACTTTTCTCACAAATTCATAATTCCTTTGTTAAACATCTAATAGTTTTTCATATAGGTACATATACTGACTTAAATGTGTATATTGGTTCCTTTATGTTCCTTTATGTTGTTGAACATCATTAATATTGTTGTTAACTACTTTTTAATCACGTGAAATGAAAAATCACAATAGTGTAGTATAGTTATGGGTCTACACTTTAAACTGACTACCAGGCAAGCAATATTTAAAGTCTAAAATTCCGTGGCGCCTTCCTGACCCAGTAATTGTCAGTTTTTAATAAGCAAGCAAATGGCTGGATATCTTATCATATTAACGACATCATATAATAGTAATTTGACGGCCTTGAATGCCTCTACAGAGCTCCCGCAAACATAATTATCAACATAACCTCGGTAATTGAAGCATCAAATCTGCCCTTTTGTAGTTCAGGGCCTGGGAGCGAGGACACGTACATTTCTAGACCGTACTCGCAGAAGCTTTTAAAGACAACCTTAAACAAACATGCAATTATTTTAATCTCCTTACAAGTCTCCGGGGAGCTTAGAAACACAACTGACAACTTTCAAAATGTAGATTAGAAATGGCCATAAAGTTGTGCAGTCGTAAACGCAAACCTGCAGTTCTGTCTGACCAAATATAGACGCAGGGAAAGGACAGGCCGAAGAAAACTTGTAAATAATCCCGCTTCTGCTTGTGTGGTCAGGTACTCAGATGTCGTTTAAAGGACAGGATTTGTAGCCGTTTTGTTGATACTTTTATTTGTTATTCCTATAAAAAACTGTTATACTTATCACTGAAATTTAATAGCGTTTCCAGTATTTTGTATGATTTAAATCCCGTCCAAACAAAAAAAGTTTTGTATACCATTACTAGCATAGCCTATTTTGTTTTAGGCTATTGACATTATCCATTGAAAGTATAAGAAATATGGTCTACATAAAACTGGAGATAAATATACAAATCTAGTTTGTATGTGCCAAAAAAATTATAATTTGCCATGAAATGTTTTTAAGTTTGTATTTTACTTTGTTAAATTAAGGATGAAAGATTGGATATACAACTAACTTCAGCCCGGATACTATGTGACTCGCTATTGGCCCGAGAGATAATTACCCCCACTCCCCCCTTCATCGCAGGGAAATCTTTCTCTCTTGTGCCCCTAACAAACCATATAACCTCTTGTTTACCAATGCTGCCTTGACTAACTTACCTGAGAAAAGAGTTCAGAGCAGTTGAAATCACCCATAAGTCCACAACACAATAAACTTGATATTCACTCCCAGAGTAGGCTTCTTCTTCTTTTCTTCTTCTTCAGTGTATTTCTAAGCTAAGTGCTTTTTCCTCCCAAAAACCATTTTACTCATTTGTATTTTTGCCGACACATAAGTTTGCGTCTGTTGCACTTTCCCTACAAGGTTTGTTGTTACACAGTCAGATGATCGGATATTAGCATATCTACTTTCTCAGCATCATCACTTTCTCATCGGTTTATTGGATGTCACACCTTTCTCTGTTCATTGCCTCATTCGTCTGATTGGGATGCGTTACTTACATTGCATCTTAGAGAGAAACCTGTTGCCATGCAGTTTATAGGGAATCTCAATTAGAATGTACTGAATCATCAGGAGTTACCCTTGAAATCAGTTTAGGCCTATAATTTTTGCGACATGTTAATGTATCTTGATGTTGAAAGAGGTCATGTTACTTCTTCTCGTTTAAATATTTTGTGCTACAAACTGATGTAATTTTGAAATACTCACCAACCCAATTAAATTGTTCAGAATGATGATCAATACAACATAGTGAGCTTAATAATCAGGTCTCTGGCTCAATCTCCGAGAAAAGTCAGTAGCTTTTTGATGGATCGAAAGTAGATAAACTCTTATAACTTTTAATAATTGACACTGACTAATGCAACAGCTGATCTTAGTCAGTAATAAAGCCACATACTTCCTTCATTCGTATTTGCGACTTTTAATACGCCCTATTAAAATCCCCATCTTAGTTTTTGACAAAAATGATAATATCGATGTTTTTGCTAAATTGTAATTTTATATTTTGTTGTTTATTATTGAACAATATAAATAGCTTTTGACCATTACTGCATCATGTTAATTACAGTCAACAATTTTAAATTATTGTCACGTTGATATTTTGTTAAGTTCTTGTGAGTCTCTTTTGAATTTCTGAGTTTCTTATTTATTTGTAACAAAGTAGAAGCAAAGTAAACAAAGAGATTCCCGGGACCATTATACATATTTGAACAACAACATAAACAGACATAATTCAGCGGAAAGTCGGTCTCGCCACCGGGCCATGTGGCAGAACTGGACTGCAGTGTACCATTTGTCAACACTGGCCAGATGGCGCGAAATGAAATATTATTTATCGTTTTGGCAGCACTGGCTCCAACCTCATAAACAATCATTGCTAATGTTAACAGCCGGACACTGATCCCCGTAGTTTGGCGATTAACGTAACACCACCCATCGATGTTTGCTGATGTATAAATAGGTTTTATGCGTGTTCGGACGTGTAAGGCTGGCCGAGGTCCAAACAGACGTCTGACTGATCGGTAACTTCGCAACTCGCTTACTTGGTTTACATTTTTACACTGTTGTGAAATAAGGTATAGACCGCTATTGTGTTGTGTTAACTTATGTATTTGTTGATTTAAGCTAGGTTTTAAGATTTTTTTTTAATTTTATGTTTTAATGAAACCCTAATTAAGTTTTAAAATCGATTAATATTATTTTTGGAGCTAAATATATCCAAATGTCATGTAAAGATTTGTGTGTTCATTATACGCCTTACTATTGTATGGTGTCGTAGAAAACTAATGGTTCATTAATTTAAGTTCTCATTACAAACCTCAATCAAATCTCGGATTTGTTCTTATTTGTTAAATGAAACATAAGTGTTAGTTTTAAACAGAATTATAATTAATCTCTAGCTTACCTATTTTTGAAAGATTTAGCTGTTTATATTAGGTTGTACTCCTTCAGCTAATCCGTGTCAATAACCCTATAAAGTTTTTATCACCGTCAACAGGTGCTGTTTCAACATGTAACTCGTCTAATTTCCTTTAACCTTGCAATTATTTTCTTGTCACTTTGCTTGTCCTATTTATTTTTAATAGCCTTATAGTTTGAAAGAATACGACCTATTATGTGTTATTGTTTACTACAAGGTTTTGTTTGTTAACTAGGTTTCATCCTCATGTATTATATGAGTTAAGTATTAAAATATGAAAAACAAGCTAAACAAATCACCACTTGCTCTCCGCAACTCTTCCGACCTTTTGGGAATAGTAAACAAAACCAAACTACATCCATATAGTTTGTTTAGTTGTGGTTGCTTTAATAACAATATGACATGTTTGCAGTATTTCAACGAGACCGCTCATAGGCCTGAGTCAAACTTGGACCTGGAGCCAGGCATGGTGTGGGGAGGAGCAACACAACGGCGCGTACCTCCAGTACCAGCCAATGACAGCGACTCTACCAACACTGCGGGCTGTAGACTTAGTCTGGACGCAGGTAAACATATACATATACCTTCCAGTAAAGACAAGGATGTTTAAATACTGATTACAAAATACCACAGAGAAGTAAGGTCCAGAGGAATCTCGCTTACGGGACGACCGTTCCCTTTCAGCCCTAGTATGTTGCAGTTTTTTGCTACCAGGAGGAAGCGGGATGTTTTTTGGGTTTTGTGAAACGTTGGACATTGATTCCAAGGATGATTGCGTGTGATGTATGTATGTGTTTGACGAATCCTGGACATCACTAGACAAAAATAAAGGCGAGTGACTGAAGGCTACAAACAATCTTCATAAATGAATAACACCTCACTTAAAAGCATTTCATTTAAAAACACAAGGTCTTCCTCTATTGCGAGCGTTGTAGTAGATGATGGCGAGTGTGGTGGTGTTACACTTGCCCTAGACACCAATTAAGTAGACTGTAGTGAACTCTATGTGCGGCTTATTCAACTATGTTCATATTTGCATATAAATCAGATGTCTACTTCAGTATCCATTGTTTATTCTCGTCTCAACAAAGTCATTTTTCAGACTGTACTGTAATCTATGTTGGCAGGACTGATGTGCCGTCGTGACTCGAGCAGCCAAGACGGCAGTGTGGGAGACCTGAGCAGTGATGACTCGGTGATCATCAGTAGGATACGCAAGAGTTGCGAGCAGAAGAGGGAGTTCCTAGCAGCACCTCTATGGCCACAAGAGGCCCCCACGTCCCCGCCTGGCATCAAGGTAACTTTGCCTATTGTATTGCTGGGATATTGTTTGAATTGGTCAATTGGATATGTTAACAAGTGTTTCATGGCTTGAAACTAAATTGCTCTGTGTATCCTATAACAATTTTGGTAGTATCCTGAAACTGAACAGCTGCCGTGAGGTTGAACCTGCCAGATTTTAAAGTCCATTGCTGGTGTGACAGATTTTAGCAAAAAAAAAAAAAAAAAAAACTAAACCTTAAATGGATAGAAAATGTTGGTTTTGGCTTTTTGGTTGTTGCACGATAATTTTGAGATGATGACACAATTGCAAAGTCTTCAGGATTTCGAGGAACGTACAAGATTTTAAGGTGATCGCAGGTGACGGTGCTGATATGCACATGATTGCGGAAGATGTTTTTCCTGTGATTGCAGAAGACAATGATGATGTCTTTAAAGACTGCAGTATAACCTATACTTTTTTATTTTTTCCGTTTGATGATGTCTTTGTGACCGCGTCAGATGCTCTAAATTTGGTTGTGTTTGCATGATAGGATGTTGATGTCTTCAATATCATTACAGAAATTAAAAATTGTCTTTGATCGTGGGTGAAAATAATGAAATCTTTGCAATTGCAGCAGATTAAAAAAAATTTGTCATGGATTATGTTCATTTTTGTTTACACACTAAAATTTGTTATAGATACCTATACCTAACACTGTATTGGCAGAACCATACAAAACATGCTAAAACATTACAGTAGACTTCCTCTTATCCGAACACGTTTTAACCGGACATCGGTTTAAGCAGACTACACTCGGCAGAAATGACATCTCTTTAACCGGACAATTTTTATCAGCATTTTGGTTTAACCGGACTAGATCGACAGGAAGTAGGCAGTACTGAAACGAATGTTCTTGTGGGAAAGTAAAGATTTGAGGCCAGTACAGTGAGGATTAGGTGTCTAAATATGCTCTCCTAAATTTCAGTCGAATATCACAGTAAAAAGTATGTTTTAACGAGTTTTTGGGGACGTCAGTTTAACCGGAAAACCCGTTATCTGGACTGGCCTCAGTCCCGAGGAGTCCGGATAAGAGGGAGTCTACTGTACTTAGCCTAGATGAATGTTTAATGTTAAGGTATAAATATTAACTAATTTTTTTGTTGTTTCAAGGCTTATTGCATATATTTCCCATCAGTCAGACATATCACTAGTTATGGGATACAAATTTCACTGTATAATTGAACATTAGTGATATTTTTGTACCAGAAGATTAAAAGTCTAAAAACATACACAGTTTTCTATAATCCCCAATCTTGATTTGACTCTGTGTGACAGATATTTTAGTCATTTACACATAAATTAACTGTTGTTGTATTCCAGGAATTCTACAGTAGACCACAGAAGCTCCAGCCATCTCCTCATTGGCCTCCTAACATTCCTGCCAGTCCAAACCATTCTCCAAGCAGGAAGGAAAGAGAAGACACACCTCCGAGAGATAGAGGTAACGATTCAACCCATTGTAATAATAATAAGCAATCTTTCAATAGTAAATGTTATATTTTACATATTCGTTTTGCACACCGTTGAGCTTTTACAAGAGTGTAAATTTCCCAACTGAAGATTTCTCGGGTATGTCTGTTGTGTAAGTCCCAATAACAAACCAGGGAGTTTCTGTCAAATTTCAATTATCCCAGTCGTTGGTAAATTAATTTAGATTTTCGGGTGAACAAGTAAGTTTTTGAACAAAATAACCTCATGCAGTACATCCCGATGTGATTTTAGGAAAGGTCCATCGACCAATAATGCTTTGGACCTAATTAGAGGAATCGTCTGATCTTTCAAAGCCCAAAACAAAACCCATTAATACTATGCTCACTGAACATATGATCTCCCCTTTTATGATCTCAGGAAAGCGTTTGACTTGGATATTATTCTTTTACAAAATTAATTAATCTCAAGTTCACCAGCTTGGATTTTTTTTCAATGAAATATTTTCTAAAATGACATAGAATTTGGGTATACCTCAGGGTTTGGTACTAGGCCCCCTATTGTTTATAATATAAATGATATGCTATCATCTATATTAAAAAGTTAATTTCATCTACTGATTATACCACTTTTTCCCAAATCAGTAGAGGTGAGGTGAATCGTCACTCTGTTTTTAAGTTTTTTTCTAATAAGAAGCCATAAGACATATTTTTATGAGTTTGAATAAACCTTTACACAACGTTAGCTACAACGAAGCTATATATATACTTTTATGTTAGGCAGTTAATTCTATTCATAGCGTTTTCACTTTCATTAAATAAACATTTTCTTCTAGCTGTCTTTAGATTCGGATAAAAAAGTCTGCTCTCTATCCACTGATAACTTTGAGGAAACATATTCAAACAACTTAAATTCCCTAACAACACATATTCAAGGTAAAGACCATGTTATAAGTGAGAGTGGCCAAGATAGGTCCTGCCGATAAACATATGTTTCAGTCAGGATGAAATTCCTGGAAGGTTTGAGCAGACGTCTGCGGTCTGCGTGTCAAAATGCCATTACCTCATTATCCTAAGGTGTAATTTTCCGGTTCTACCTAATGCGCCCTTGAGACGTTGTGTCGACCTTTTGGTGTAAACTTGTTCAGTTAATGCTAATAGCTGTAATTTATTTGTCACTCAATTATGTTCAATAGCTGTTCAAACTGATTGTGTTCAGAAGTGATTGAACAAGATAAAACTTCTATGAGTTGTAGGCCTACTCAAAAGTTTATTTTATCTCCATGGAATTTTGCATGAACAGAAATTGTTATTTGTTAAAAAGTTGCTATCCTGAAAATTTAAGAATGTATTATTATTGAGTTTGGGAGCAAAAACTATAAAACTAAAATTTGTGGTTTTAAAACAATTGGAAATTTAGACCCTGCAAATATATTTTACAATAGCTTTTAACGTTAACAGTGCTTCAGTGCATGTTTTCTTGATTTCAACAAACCAGCAAAAAAGAATCAGAAAAAATAATTGATTACTAAAACCTATTGATTAGCAAAACCGCATTATAATGTTGTTTTAACTTTTGGTTCAGCAATCTTTGATCAAAGTCGTAAACTATGTGTACCATTCAAGAATCAATAGTACTTTACATAATATTTAACTACCCCATCCTCTTAGCCAATGAGCAAGAACCGATAAAGAAACTCTATCCACAAACTGTTCTGCGCAATATAAATAGAAGACATAAAATTGATCACAATGGGAAAGTTAACTCGCGTATCAATTGATCAGGTTGAACCTTGTTATCAGATTAAATCTAATGTTGATCGCCTCTTCATTACACAAGTGCTAAATATAAACCACTTTCCCTGTGAACCTCATCAATGGACCAATTAACCGAGCCTGTAAAAATAGCGTGTAACAGCTGCGAGCCACTTTCCAGCTGACTCGTTTGTCAACATTTCATGCTAATTTGTCACTCCTTCTTGTCGAGGTAGAACTTTTGAGTTGTTAATTATGCTTTCCACTGATTAGTAATTTGCTTGTTGTTTTATTTAGCAAGTTAAAATGTAGGCTACTAAAAATGTTTAGTTAGGATTTTATGTGTATGAATCAGGATGTTTAAAGCTTGACATGTTTGAATAAGATGAAAGTTGGGTTATATTGAATAATTTGTACAGTTTCAAAAATATTAGCATAGTATAGGCTACTATTTATACTCTACCCATATTATTTTTGTTCATTTTTATTCATAAAGAATATCAACTAATGAGGCTCATGATTTTGTTTTCCTATAGGAGTCTATCAGACACATTTTACTGTGAATATTATTTTATCAATGACTTGCAATAAGTAGTTGTTAAATAAACGGTATCAGCATTCTGACACATACTTTCTCCCTTAAGCTTGTCAACCTTTATCACGGATAAGCGGTGGGAGTAACTATGATATTTTATAGTTAAAAATCACAAAAGTTGCAATAACTTTTTAACTGTAATTGTTAGGGATGGACGGGTCCCGAAATTTCGGGAATTTTTCGGGAAAAAAATATTCCCGATTATCGGGACGGGATTACATTTGACTCGGGAATTTTTCGGGACGGGATTTGGTCCGATCGTCGGCGATTTTTCGCTTCGCGAGTGCCGATAACGCCGTTATTGCGAGCGATAGGTCCGCGAACGCAGAAGACGAAGTCATACCGACGATCGCGCCGTGACCGCGGAGTCCTACCGACGATCGTGCCGTGACCGCGAGTCATACCGACGATCGCGCCGTGACCGCGAGTCATGAGATCGCGCCGTGACCGCGGAGTCATGCTGACGATCGAGCCGTGATCGCGAGTCATACCGACGATCGCGCCGTGACCGCAAGTCATACCGACGATCATGCCGTGACCGCGAGTCATGACGACGATCGCGCCGTGACCGCGGAGTCATACTGACGATCGAGCCGTGATCGCGAGTCATACCGACGATCGCGCCGTGACCGCGAGTCATACCGACGATAACCCCGTGACCGCGGAGTCATACCGACGTTCGCGCCGTGACCGCGAGTCATACCGACGATAGCGCTGTGACCGCGAGTCATACCGACGATCGCGCCGTGACCGCGAGTCATGGCGACGAAAGCGCCGTGACCGCGGAGTCATGCTGACGATCGAGCCGTGTTCGCGAGTCATACCGACGATCATGCCGTGACCGCGAGTCATACCGACGATAACCCCGTGACCGCGGAGTCATACAGACGATCGCGCCGTGACCGCGGAGTCCTACCGACGATCGCGCCGTGACCGCGAGTCATGACGACGATCGCGTCGTGACCGCGAGTCATACCGACGATCGCGCCGTGATCGCGAGTCATGACGACGATCTCGCCGTGACCGTGAGTCATACAGACGATCACCCCGTGACCCACGAGTCACAAGTTACTATAGGTACCTGTAAATTGTTACCCATTTTTTGGTTTTTATAGATCAGTGCCACAAATGGTAAAAATTGATTTCGTATGTCTTTTTTTGGTAACTGCAATACAGTACTTTCTTTTTATGCACAGAAAAAAATCCCGTCCCGTCCCGTCCCGAAAATTGGGAAGGAAATAAAAATCCCGTCCCGTCCCGTCCCGAACTAAAAATTCAATCCCGTCCATCCCTAGTAATTGTTACAGCAATGGGGGGTTGTACTTTTTTTTTAGAATTATAAGGACCATAACATATAAATTTTGACCAAAACCAGATTTTCTCCAAAAATCTGATTTTTTATTAATTTTATGGGTTTTATGGGAAAATAAAATAAGTTACCTACAATAACTTTTAAACCGTAATTTTTACAGAAATAGGATTTATGTACCATTTTGTTCAGAATTTAAAGGACTATAACATACCTAAATTTTTATGAAAATCGTTTGAGCCATTCCCAAGAAAATCCTGTTTTCTATTATTTTATGGGAAAATCCCAATTAAAAATCTAAGTTTCAAAAAAATGAAAAAAAAACGCCTGGAAATACTGTGGATTAGTACCTAAATACCAAATTTCATCAAAATCGGACCACAGGTTTGGTCTTTAGCTCTGTACACATCCGCTCAAACAGACACACAGACATCACTTCGAAAACCACTTTTTTGGGTTCAGGGGATCCAAAACGGATATTTCCACTCAAAACTCAAACTCAAAATTTTTGACAAAAACAATACTTTCTCCATACAGTATACTATGTATAGGGAGAGGAAGTAAAAATTAAAATTCATAAACCTTAAATTCTCTTGGAATCAATTTTACCCGGTGTACTTTATTCTCGCTCCCAGGACTTCATTAACAACTATTTGTGTTTATTTATTCCAACGTTCGGCTTGACTAGTGAGTAGTGACTAAAGTTATTTTCACCATCATCAGTCTTCATCACTCTTGATTGCTGGCCTCATTCTTGTTTCTTTGCTGTAAATTCGCTTTATTTTGATTACCTTTGAATTCCAAAATCCCAATTCTTTTTTAATCAAAAATCCACAAAATACTATTGTGAATTTTTTGGAATCAGTTTGTCACTAATGATGAATATTAATTGGCTCATAATTTACACACCTATACAACTACAGTAGAATCCCGATTATCCACAATGATTGTATAGTTTATTTTACAATTTTGAATGTAAACGTAAAGTTAAGCTTCAATATAGGTTTATGCAATAATAACCTTTTAAAATGCAGTGTAGAGACTTTGTAACTTTGTTTTACATTTTACACCCACACACTTATATTTATAAACAAATAATATTGGAGAGCCTACCTATAGGCCTAGTGACGACAACAATTTAAACACACAAAATGTAACTTATCAACCGTTGGTTGTAATAGGGGACACATTGGTTGTCGGTGAAGTTAACAACTCTATAGTCTGCTTGTGAGATGATGGGCCTCCTCACAATAAATGTCTTGGTCGTAGTTGTATAACATAAATTTCTTTGCATAGTATACTTTTTTTGTGAGTTTTTTTGGACGTGGTTAATCCTCTAGTGAATAGTTTGGAGTCTATTGTTATAGCTGAGCAGCTGAGTGGTAGTGCTTGCCTATCAATCAAAAGGTCGCCGGTTCGATCCCGAAAAAAAGTCCGTTGCTTGATTGCTTTAAACTTGACCCAGCTGTCCTTGATCATTAAACTTTTAAATGGTCCTGGCTAATGAAACAGCTGACTTGGTCAGTAACAGAGCTACACAAGGCATACTTCATTCTACACTCATCTTTCACTCATGGTTGGGTTACAATACGCACCTAGTAGCATCCCCATATCAATTGGTAATCAAAATAATATAGTCTGTATGCTCGAACTTGTCTCTGACATGTCCGTGTTGTTGCAGGCTTTGTGTGCGGAGGTCCAGTTACCAACACTCCCGGTGATCGCAGACAGAGACAAGGTTTTGTCAACACTCTTACCAGGATACAGGAGACGACGCCACCACTACCCTTCCAGGTGAAAATTAACTATGCTAAGAGAAAAAAACAGCCATATATTTGTCACCGTTGTTTTGCACTCAATGTTCTTAACTGTAGTTAAAATTTTCAACTAGTGAATAATAGTGTTACGGTGGCCAGATTCTTAACGTTTGTATAACTAAAGTATGTCATGACATGATGACTTCTAACATTTATCAACATTCTAGGTATGAATTTTGTAAATTTGTAATGTATGTATAATTTGGTCAGGTGGTGTCCCAACGAGCAAGACAGTTTGAAAGCGGCAACATGCCGGACCGCACAAGTTTGTACAGGTCAGAACTGGCGCGTCTCAACAACAAGCGCATGGTGCCCGACGTGAATGTACGAGCTCGGGAGTTTGAGAACAAGACTGACCGCAGAAACAGGGAGAGTCGATCACTCGACAGTGCTGGTAAGTGACTCTTTATCTTACCGAACTGAAACCAAAAGGGTGAATAATGCTCCGAGCCACAAACAGCTTCGGCACCCCCTCCTCCTCCGGGGAGTTTGGTGCACTCCACTAGAAAGGGGAAAACACTGTTGCAATTAGAGTACAGTAGCTGAAAAATAATTTTAGCAGTATGGAATGTTAAAAAAAGAAAAGATAAGGCTAGAATAACTTTACGGAAGCTGATTAGGTTTTTTGTTTTTTCCAAACGTTGTTTTTCTTTAGAGAGGAATATTGTTACAAAACTATTAAAACAATATCTTTAAAATGGGAAATTCGGCACCCCTACTATTACGGTCTGAGGCCTGACTGGCCAGATAAAAATTTGAAAAATTGTTATTTTTACTGTCTAATGCAGAAAGATTCACTTAAATTTGTATTTTAAGAACCTTTAGGTATGTTTAGCTATAAATGTTTTAAAATTTGAGTAACTTTATGATTACAGTACCTTAATAGTTAGGAATTTTGGTTTTGGACTAGTTTATACAGTATTACTTAAAGTGTCGTCGGCATACGATTACAAAATAAGTTAAACTAATTGTAAAACTATGAGTTGTTACAGCATGCAGACAAAACCCATTCATAAACTTGAGTTCCTTGATGAATTAGATCTAGTAAAACAATTTATGTTTGTCAGGGAAGGTAGATGTTTTGGTATGTTAATGGAGAAAAAACTTAATTGAAAAGGTTTTGTGTGTTAATATTTACTATCTAAATCACAAAATCAATACCTAGCCTTTGTTCCAAAACTTGTTTAAATATTAAATAAATTTAGCTGAAAATTACATCAATGTTAATTTCTTTTATGCAGTTCGCTTTCTGTGTCGAGTTCTAAGAAAAAAGATGACGATCGATTGGTTATGGTCATCAACGAATGAAAAACCACTTTTGATTACGGAAAGTAAAAAACCTTTAAAAGGAGACACGAGCTTCAATGCAACTGTGGATAATGGAAAGGAAAACAAAAATAAATCTTCCAGTACTTTGTATTTAAATATGTATCGGAGGAAACGGAAAAAGAAAAAAGACAAAGATACAGTCTCTCTAGATGTTCAGTTTTATGATTCAGACAAAATAACAAAGCGTGGAACTGCTGTGGAAGGATACTCTGATAAATGTAAAGAGAGACAGAAAAATGGTTTTGATAAAATAAGTGAAAATAAAAATGAAATTCCTGAAAAGAGATTGGAGAGCAGGGACCAGTTGTCCTGTAAGTTAGAGTGTTGGTGTGGCATAGCATCAGCTGGTATAGACAGTGTGCATAGTTTGTGTGGGCATTTGACAGAAAATTATCTAGAACAGATAGTTGAACACGCTTTTGTTTGGGTATGGTGTGGGTTTTGAATTGTGTTTTTATGTTTGTAAAAAGTGGGATTTGGAGCTATGAGTTTTGACAACACAAATTTTTCCTGAATGTTAATAGATTTAATTAGGGGAAAACTGGATTAAATATCAGGCCTGTCAAGCTGGGAGGAATTTCAGGCGGGAGTGACCTTCCGGGAGGTCTGGGCAGTTTGACCCCTAGCGGCAAGGGAAATTTTGGAAATTTAAGCCTGAAAAACAGGGTTTTAACCATTTTTACTAACGTATGAAGAGAGTTTTAAATAATAATTTTTCCCATACTTGTTTGAAACAAATTTCCCTCAGATCTTGAGAATGCTCTTTTAATGTGTTCCCTCCTAAATCAATCCCTCAGTTATCTATTTACTTTAGTTTTATAAACGGTAACACTGTCAGGTTTTGTGTGTTTGCAGGCAACTTGCCACCCAGTGCTCTGTCTGGGAACAGGCTGGTACCTGTGGGTGGACGAAGGCTACATTGTGAACCTCCCAACTTGTCCGAGGCTCAACATATCTCCTATGGTAAGTGGATCAAATATAGCCATTAACCATCTCACACCTGTAGCTCATCAATAACAATGAAAACAAGCTGCAAGTCGTTTTGAAAAGCTATATTTTCATGAAAACAGGGTGGCTAGTGACCTGGAATACCTGGAAAACCTGGAAATGTCAGGGAATATTAAATATCTGGAAAAGTCATGGAAAAGTCAGGGAATTTTGTCATAAGTCAGGGAAAATTGTAAAAGGTTCAAACAAACTTTAATAATTGTTAGGAAAGGTCGATCTGGTGAGAGTATGTGTGCCGTGTGGATGGAAACTAAGAAATATGTCTGTACAAATAAATTTTGTGTTTTTGTACAATTTAAATTTTGTTATAAACTGCGTATCATCTTATCAAACCAAGTTTAATTTTATTAAGGAAGTTGCAAAGTTTGAATATAAGCTAGTCTGTATCTATAGATTTTATGTATGTTTTTCATATAAACAAACATAAGATATTCTTGAGATAAAGATTAGTCCTTTTGAAGAATTAGTTAGTATTAAAATTGTAATTTTGAATTTTTCGATCAGGAAAAGTTTAAAAAAATCATGGAATTGTCAGGGAAAAGTCAGGGATTTTTCAACGTGATTTCACTAGCCACCCTGGAAAAGTATTTCTGTTTTCTAGCTTAATTTGATAATTAGCTATGCAATATGGCAATAATTATCGTTCTTCATATGGGCAAGTGTATTTTCAAACCTCGCTCCAGAAAAGCTTGGGTCGAAAAGACACTTTACGCCCTAGTTAAGTATACTATTAAAGTGTAAGTAGTTGGTCTAACTGTTTTGTTGATGTCAGATGAGAACCTGAGACCGAGGAGCAACTTGGACGATTCGTGGCCTCAGAGACACCGAGCTGTCAGACAAGACTCTTACCTGGCCGCATGTAACAAGCCTCCTCTGCCGCCAGGTAAAACATTCAACACCGTCAGCCGGGTTGATAACGGATTTTAGTTCACCCTTGATTTTTTTTTAACTAAAAGGTGTAATAGAAATTGTAGTAGGATTCCTTGACACAAGACAGTGAAACCATTGTTCAGTGGAACTTGGATGATTCAAAAACTGAAAGACCAGTAAAACTATTTTTGGAACAAATGTCTAATAATTTCAGTTTGATGAGTTATATTAGATTAAATTTCCAAAATGATGTTTGAACCTTGTTATTTAGGCAATGACTACATAGTGTAGTTCTAATGACGAAGATACAAACTAAATCAAATTGAAACTGTTGTTGAACTCTAGTATGAATTAGCAAGTTCCACTGTACTTTTACTGCAGTCAAAAACTATTTTCTATGATATTGTAGTCAAATGAATATTATTCCCAGTAGCAAAACCAAATTGTTTTATTTTGCTTTAAATATCTTTAAAAGTAATTTGATTTAGAATACTTTGCGGCCCCTTAAAATAATTTATGCTGCAATCACCACAAACTGTAATAATAATTCTAGCTTACAAACAGAAGGTACACTTTCATTAGCAATTATCCTTAGGTTTTTTTTATTGGTTATAAATATACACCTACATTTCACATGTTTTTACAAAGTAATTTTTAGATATAGATGTTATCAAAATTTGTAACTAGATTGTGTTTTTTATTCAAGTTTATTTATTTGATTTTTCCTCGTGTGTTTTGTTAATTTCACTGAGTAACCCTTTAGAGCAAGGACACGTTTTTATTTATTGACCTTATTTTTGCATGCTGTTTTATTTTAATTTTTCCATTTCACCCACAGCTGAAGCACGTAATGGGTTGACAAAAAGCATTGCGGAGGAGGACATCGATGATACTCCCCCTCCCATACCTCCCCATGGTATCACACCCAGACCTGTTCCCCTTAGAGTTCCTGAAATCCGGGTGGAACCCTCACCCAGAAATGTCCGACCTGTTTCACTTGACTCAGATATTCCGCCTCCTGTACCTCCACATGGTATCCCAGAAATCCGGGTGGAACCGGTACCAAGACCTGTTAGACCCACCACTCTCAACCTTTCTCCCCCGTCTCATCAGTTCCCACCCTTACTTCACCCGCAACACCCGCACCCGCACAAGGCTCATGGAACTGCTGACGCAGGTTAGCGGCTTGAGATGCTTGGTGGAAGGATACTAACGCTAACCGAATGTTGTGTGCCCTTAAAAATCTTTCTTCATTGTCAGTAAACTTAAAGTGGTAACTTAGAGGTTTTATTAGATAGACAATTAATTAATGGGGATTTTATCTTTAAGCTATGTAATAAAATCTATTTAACTTAATCGAAGCTTGTCTACAACTTAATATGCTTTACAAATTTATCATCCTTTTTTGTGTGTTTTTTTTCATACTTTGAGTGATAGTCAAAACAAAAATATCAAATACCAAAAACCAAACCATAACTTTAAAAAAGTTGACTTTCAAAATCTAAATGCTAAACTTTTCATGTCTGGTTGGTTAGGGTTACAAAATCACAGGTCTTGTTATAAAAACATGAATAAACTGGTGGAATCTAAAAACTTAAAATTTTTACAAAGTTTTGGTGGTTTTGGAATTTGAGATTGGGTTTTGACATATCACTGAAATAATTCGCCAGATTTTTTAAAGGGCACATAAACAACGATTTGCTGTATTTCTAACAAATCACTGCCTGCTAAATTGGATAAATCATTGTAACAATTTGCCTAAATTTGAATAAACTTTAGTTATGCTTTGCTTAAGTTAATATTGGAAACAAAATATGCGAATTATTTCATATACGAGTTGATGGTGTACAACTCAAGAATGAAACAAGTAGGTATTATTTTCGCAATAACTTTTTAAACATTTGGTATCCTGTATAACCCACGCAGTGGACAATTCCTGTTGCCAAGCTAATTCCCGATTGATTTGTATTTTTTATTGTAGTTTTAGTTAACCCCGGTTTTGGTTTAACGGAGTGTGGTTAAAAGAAGGTTTATATATCTTAAAATAAGTGTAGTAAACTTAAACAAGCTTAATGCATGTCTAACATGAAAACCTTTTTTTAATTTTTTATCAGCTTGAATAGATGTGACGATCCCCTGACACAATTAAATTAACTACCAAAATACATCACTTAATGGCCTTTGCAAGTAACAATGTTAAGAGTTAGACGAAGAAATCTTGAATACTGTTCAGTGTTATTGCTTATTGAAACCACAATAGGTTTCTATCAGTCCTTGTGCTACCAATCCAAGACACATACTGCATAACTGTTGATGATGTTGTTTTCAAACATATTGCCTAGAGCATTAGAGCAAAGCCTTATATTTTTTATAATATTGTCTAGCTTATATTGATATTTGCAAGAGCCATTGGATTCGTAATTTGTAGAACTGTGTATTAACAATATTTAGATTTTAACCTTACATAGATATAATTGTAGAAGTGTAGGTTTTCCTAGCTGCTGGGTACAGCTGCAGAACTGTGTATGTCGAGTAAGTGCTTAAGTTTTTTTACAAGGGTATTTTTCTAGTACAGTAGACTTTCGCTCATCCAGACTAATTTGGCGGACCGCCCGGTCCGGATGACTAAGAATCCGAACTATCGAGAGTTGAGCAAATATAGTACTGTATGTATAGCCGTTTTTTTCAATTTTTTTCCAGGTCCACAGTATTGATAGCCATGCAAATACAGTTCCACTAGTAATAATTTTTACTGCCGTGTTATAAGAGTTTTTGATTATCCGAGGTAGTCTCGGTCCCGTTTAGCTCGGATAATCAGACTTCTACTGTACTGTGCCGCTAAAAGAAAATCTGGATTGCCGATCCAGACTAGCGGGAGTCCGGACAAGGCCGATCCGGATGAGCGAGAGTCTACTGTATAATGATATTCCAATACGGAGTGGGTTTATTCATCAGTTTTTAGTGTTTACAGTTTGTCCCTTTTGAAAGCATTCTTTAAATCTGGATGTGTGGCGTTCTTATAAACTCATGTTCCGCGATTAATTGTTCATTGTTAGACAAAGAAACTTTTCTTTTATTTTACATAGCCTAGCCAAATTACAAGAAAAGACGTTTAAGTAAATCAATTGTCTTAGCCTCAAGATGAATTAACTGTATTTTAATCTCCAAAACCTAAATTAACTGAACTAACCAAATGCAGTATTTGGCACAAAGTCAGTCATAACTGAAAACAGTCACTTTCAACAATTCAACACTGCAAAAACCATTGAACTAATGCAGGAGATTGACAGTTTGCTGCAGAGATTGGAAGTGACTGCTCTTGGAACAGTTGCTTGTTTCACAGTGTTCCGGGGAATACAGTCTGTGCTGAGTTCAGCAGCTAAGAAACCCCTCGTACCTAACCCTCAAGTGTTGGGGGAGCGAGCTGGTCTAGTGGTTAGAGCGCGGGTCTTTGGTTCAAGAGGTCCCGGGTTCAAATCCCGCCAAATAACCAATGGATTTTATCTAAGTGATAATGCCGCAACCCCTAGGTCTAGCCTGAAGTAATGTGAAAAACAATTCCGGGCTCGTGCCTAGCGTCCTAGGACAAAAAAACCCCTCAGGTGTTGAGTTCCGGAAAACGCAGCTGTATTTACCAGCCAGGAAATCCAGTGTTTACAATGTCGATTGTTTGTTTGCAGAAGGCTCAGGTACAGAAGAGGACTCCAACGCTTCCCCTGGTTCTCCCGGAGTGGTGTGGAGAGACAAGGCACTCAGTGATGCAGGTTTGTCCCTCATTTGGTACCAATATGCTGATTAGTATACAAATTAGTTCATTAATTGTCATTAATAACAGGTAGGGATGGACGAGATTGGATTTATAGTTTGAGACCTCTATTCCAAGTAAACTACATATTTTTAGATTGTGCAGTAAAAACATAAAAGTTAATAATCGACGCATATGACTTGAGTTTAGGTAATGCTAGTGATGTAAAATACCCGGGTATTTAAAACTCGGGGTAAATACCCTGGGTAATTACCCGGGTAAATACCCAAAATCCATAAATACCCAGGTATTTTGGGTATTTATGAAATCGATTGAAATTCATTTATATTTACCCCTAAATATGTTATTGTTATCATATTACATGATAAATTATGATAGTCTATAACACCTTTTACAGCCAACTTGAAGCTTTGCTAGTACCTTTTATTTAATGATTAACTAAAGCACTTTAAAAAAAATAATACATAAAGTTTCCAAAAGGCATGGGGTTTCGTGTCTTAAATCGAGTAACATCAGTTAAATTTAACTTACTAAAAATAGTATATTAAAAAAGGTTGTGGCTATTTCAATTTTTATCATTTCATAATTTTTTCATGAATTTTTTTCAATTAAATAGCATAAACAAAATTATTTTAATTTATAAATATCCAAATGTTATTAAATCATGATAGTACAAATTTTTATTGTATTAAATGGCTTGGAAGGCTAGACAGACCTAAGCCTGATTGACATAGGCAGAATGGCAGAATACTAAAAGTAATTAAACTTTTCTGTGTTACCGCTTAGTTGGAAACAATAATATATTTGGACAAACCTACAAAAAGAATGTATCTCTTCTTTTTTGGTCTAACTCAATATCATTTCAAAAGATTTATTGTGCTATAGATTTAAATGTTTTGTATCACAAGTTTATGAAAATATTTTTTTTTTATGTTGATACCATTGATACCAACAAAATATCTAGAACAAAAATATTATTAAATCCTGCCATCCTACAGATTGAATTTTAATTATGGAAGTGTACCCTTATTTTCTTAAGTTGTTTACACATAGGCCACTACTAGGTTAAATTTTCCTGTCCTTCTAAATAATAATTATTACTTTACAAATTATTTTTCTTCACTTTCAATAAATAAATTCATCTATCTATCACAGAAATTCATAAGTAGATAAATCATAAGTAGTTAGGACCAGTGCAACCATGCGACCAGGGTATTTATGCCGATTATGCTTTATGCTGAGACCTGGGTATTTATGGCGATTATAACCAGAAGTAAAGTGCTAGAAGTGACCATATGAAATTTTGTTTAACACATTTTATCATCATTTTACTATTCTTCCAGGGTAATAATTGCAAAAAAACATCTCAATCTTCTCTAACTTTAATAAATATTATAAATACCCAGTTTTTGGGTATTTACCCGGGCCTGGGGTAAATACCCGGGTAAAAACCCAATTTATATTTACCTACCCACTGGGTATTTACCCGGCCCACATCACTAGGTAATGCATAAAATACAACACGTTTTACCTCAAATTTAACTATTTTTTAGGGGAACCCCCTATACCCTCTGGCCCCCTCATAGAAAATTTCAATGGCACCCAAGTTATGTGTATGTATAAATAATCTGGGGATTTTCAACTACCATTTTAATTTAGCAGGGAACCTGAAAAAAAATAACTCCTGATTGGAACTGTGGAAACAGTTGACTTAATAGTCAGGTAGTTGACGGCTTTACATACCGAGCAAGTTTACTGAATTCTAATTTTAAAAATAACCTTTGTGTCTCCTGTATTATTTTGCCCATTTAACTAACTGTATTCAAATAACAATCAACTTAGGCTGCATTACTCAATAGTTGAACTGTGTGTTGTGATTTCAGGGTCGGAGGAGGACAGAGCCACAAGACGAGTGTCGTACCTCAAGGCTACGTGGCCGGACCGCATGAATGTGGACAGCGACCCCGACGTCAGCGACACTGAGCCTCCTATCAGGTATGTCAAATCTGATATCAGTGTCCTTTACTTTCCCCACCACAAGTCTAGTCGGAGCTTACCTCTTTGTAACATCACAGAGAAGGAAAGTACAGTGGAAACTCTCTGAGACAACCGTGCGCTTTCATCTCTAGTAAGTTGTGCTGGAAATTCACTTGTGAAGAGCAAGGAAGAGCCCAAGCGGCGAGCACTGCGGAAATTCCTACTCTCTCTTTGTAAGACACCACTTAAGTGTATCATTGATTGTTTCCTCTGTACCTCCTTTATCTGTGGTCAAATTTAGTCTTGTTGTAAATGAAGGGAGGAAAAATCAACGTACTTGCTGTGTGAACCACGTTCTGTGATTGTATATCTGTGATCTAAAGACTCAATCTCTATTAGGCCAGTGTGATGTTTGGTGTCAGACAGATGGACAAGTGTTTGGGTACAATTTTTTAGGGACAATTGTTTGGACATAAAATAAGTGGGTAAGAACAGGGTTGCCACCCGTCCCGATTCTGTCGGGACAGTCCCGATTTTTCGTTCCTTATGCCCTTATTTAAGCCTACAGTAGACTCTCTCTTATCCGGACTCCTCAGGACGTAGCCAGTCCGGGTAACAGTTTTTCCAGTTAAACCGACGTCCCTTGTTAAAATGTACCGATTAAATGCATACTGCAAACAGTATTTGACTTAAATTTAGGAGAGCATTGTATTTAGACTCGTGATCATTCGTCCCAAATCTTTCCCACAAGAACAGTCGTTTTAGTACTGGCCACTTCCTGCCGATCTAGTCCGGTTAAACCGATATGCTATAAAAATTGTCCGGTTAAAGAGATGTCATTTCTGTTGAGTGACTTCGAGAGACTTAGAGACATTGTCGTTTCGTCGAGACCGCAAGATATGCTACTCCGATGTTTGACTTTTAGGCTGTTCCGACCATAGCTTGGTCCCATCATGGTTGGATATGAAGGCTATACTGTACTACTAGTTCGCCATCGCAATGTTGGAGACGTTAACTTGAGGACAACCCTGTATATGACACAGAGTGAACAATATACTGTAAGCTGTTTGTCACCCAAGGAAAACAGTATTAAATTAATCCCTAATCGATAGAGAAATATATATCCCTAAGCTTCTCACTCTTATCTGTTTGGTTGTAAACAAACTCTTGAAATGTCTTTGATTAAAGCATTGATAATAAAAGTCCTCTTTTGTATATTTCTACATCTAAGTAAAGTAAGCTCTAGAATGGTTAACCGTGATTTCTCGTTTTAACAATTCAATTGTGTTGAAAATGATAATGGTAGAAAGTTAGTAGTTTCAAAAAACAATTTATGCTTGAGCGATCAACAATGTTCTTGGATTGACTAATTCACTAAAAAGTAAACATGATTTAAGTTGCATATTTTTTACCTTTTACGTTAACCCCCAAAATGATTCCCATATTGTTTTACTTTTAGAAACGGCTGTTATTAAGGTATTTGATCTGTTAAAAATGAGTTGATTTGCAGTAGAGTGATAATTATGTCTCTTCATAAACTGGTTGTGAAAATTAAAAATCAATTGATTTCCCATGTTAGCTAATATAATTGAGTGCCCAAAACTGGATTTGAAAAACTTTGCCTGTCTTAGTAGTTTTGTAATGTGATGATTATTCATATCCCATCGATCATGAGGTGCATGGAAGAGTAGCTAATGTGCTTGAATTTTTTAGAATAATTTCTGAACCTGCGCTATGTTTCATACCCTCAACAATTTCTGTGAGAACGACCATCATCAGGTTGTATTTCCATTTCTAGACCTGCTCGCAAGTGGCGGCCTCCTTTATTCCCAGACGACATAACCAAGATTTGCAGAATTTTTGAAGACCACTGGGAGAAAAAAGGGTTTGCAATTGTTGAACATTTTCCTAGTTTGGTTTTACAGCTGCTGCTTAACAGACCGCTTAGCCTTTTAGGTTTTGTTTTAAATTTTGAGGAATTATGTGTGTTTCAGTTTTGGTTTTTATTTCAGTTTAAGTATGATTTTGTGTTAAATGAAGTTTGGTTGGTTTTGATTGACATTTTTCGTGTTATTTCTGAGGTGAAGAAGATCAAGGTTTTGCTGTGTACAATTTTACTCTGTACAACAAAAGATTAGCATTTTGTGGCTTTGCCTGAAAAAACAAAGCGTAATATAAGAATTTTGGCAGTTTTTAGAATAGAGTGGAATAGGATAGTATGTGTTTTTATCTTGGTTAAAACAAAACACTATGCTTATTTTAAACGTTTAATAGTTAAGCTTTTTTTTTGGGGGGGGGGGGTTTTAAGTATTTCGTCACTGCACAGTTACAACACAAATAATTAACTTACGCTACAGATCACACACATTTTGCAGTGAGATTTCTCAATAGCGCTCAAGAAGTTTGTTGAATCTAACCTGCAAGCGCTAGTGTCGTCGTGTGCTAATAGTTTCAATCGACTCGTTTGGCCAACGTTGGCGTGCTAGCTCAGTTGGCTCATGGCACTGACGAGTGGAGTGTTGAGGTCTTTCTGCATGCACGGGTTCAAATCCTGTACATGAGCAATCCACATTGAGCTTACCAATGTGTGGCTTAGAGGGTCCTCCTTAAATAAATGGTCTCCGGCTCGGGTGGAAGTTGATAACGTTTTATAAGGATTGGACACAACACCTGTATTGCTTCTTTTTACATTGGTAAAATTGGTATTGAGGAGCAGAACACGGATTTTTCTTTTTTGGCTATTTTGGTTAAAAATAGACACATTGTGTTTAAATGCATGTACTGTATAGTAAAAGATATAAAAGGACATCATCCAAAAAAATACATGAATAGAGAAATTAAAAAATTCTGGCGTGAACCAGGCAATTTTAAAAGTTGAAGTTTCAAAATTTGAGATTCAGTTTTTTTTATAAAAAAAACTTCTTAAAGAGGTAAAAAAACTGAACATTTGTTTTTATGATAGTGTTAAGGATAGATTTTGCGAAACCTTCATAAACCCAAGATATTTATCATTCTCATCCAAGCAGTTAATACCAACAAGATTCCTGTTATCACTTGCTAAACGCTTGACTGGGATGTTAATTCCATTGTTGCTGACTTTGCAAATCACTCATAATCTATGCTTGCATCTTCTTATCTTATAACCACGGTTTTGTATAGTTCAACAGTAGATACCCATGTTAGCATTGTGTTCAGTCGCTGTAACTGAAATAGCCAGTTTAATAATAGGTATAACATAGTACAGTATTGTAAATGGCTATCTCTATTTAAAGTTGAAACGTACTACTAAATGCTGCTATCATAAAATCGATAAATAAGTTTAACAACATGTAAATTTTTGTTTTTTACTTCTAATCAAAGTTTTTATTGTTGAAGAAGACGTAATCTGTATGAAGTGGTTCCTTTTGGATTATATTCATGAAATAGACAGAAAAATGTTTAACTTGCGGGTATACTCGGTTCAGATTGCTGATAAGTCTTAAAAAATTCCTCCAGAAGTATGACTGTTATTGAAAAATAGGCCTGATAAATTAGAATATTTTTGTGTCACGCCTGAAGATGATTCTTATCATAGTTTTTAAAATAAAAATCTAAAAAAAAACTATAAATAAAAAAAAATAAGATAAAAATCATACATTTTAAATATCCCTCTTAATTATTTAAGTAGCTTAGAATGACAACTGTTTCATAATATAGTATTATAGTAAATTGAAAATAACATTGGGATTAAAATAATGTCTGGAATCTAAATGTTCATAGTAAAAATGTAATTTAGTTGTGATATATTAGTCTCTGTCTAGTGTTTTCTTCGAGGTTACATTTTTAGGGGACTACAGTTTTGTAGTGATTGGTACTTGGGGTTTTTATAAGAACAAATACATGTAACAATTAATTGTCCATACTATTTTTTTTGTTCTAACAAAATTAACAACCTGTACAATTTTTTTTTTATTTATTTCTTGTAGACTACCCTATAAAGTAAATCATGTTTCCAAAGTTTGACTGAAACAAGTGTTTGTTGTGCAGTCGCATATTATTTACTCAATTTGAGATGTTAATACAACAAAAAATCACCCAGTGTAAGGTCTTTAAGTAAATGTGTAGTGTACATTTGATTTACTGTTTTTAATGAAGTTTGAAAATTGTCTATTGGTTCCAAAGGTTTAATTCATGATTCCACTCGATATCAACAATTTTAATCTAGGTAGGATTTAATTTTGTTACCAATATTACAAAATCTAAATCAAGTAAAAACTGTGACTGTTTAGTCAGGAAACCTAAAATGGTTTAAAAAACCCCCTTTTATTTTCACTAAACACGACTTTGCCTTCCAATAAACTTTTCTTCTCAATTTGCTGTTGCTAATCCTATAATTCTTGCAATATACAGTAGGCTAAAGCTAAAGTAGTATCTTCCATGATTAATTCTGATAATCCTTGATTATGACACTGTTAGTCTTCAGTTATTGTAGCTGTGGAGGTCATCATGTACTTCTGGTTCTCCATTTAAACTATTTTCATGCTTAATTCCATCCAAATCTTCTTTTTCTATTTCATTGTTCAGTCCAGTCCCATACACTCCCACATAATCATCTGGAATAGTTTTAAGTTGAAAATCTTGTGGATTAAACTCATGTTCTTTTTCAAAACTGTCATTTGTCAGATTTTTCTTAAACAGTGTTTGAGTAGCGTTACTGATTTTGTCTTTCATTCCTTGTAAGTTTGGTGATGTCTTAATATGTTTATGAATAGGAGTTTTAGTTGTTTTATAAGTAATTTCATGTTTTTGTAACAGTGGTTTGTTGGATTCCATTTCATTTATTGGTGTTGATTTTGAACCAATACTGTGTCCTGTTTTTTCAGCCTTCTGACCAGTAGTTTCTTTCTTAGGTTCATTGTTTTCACTTATCAAGTTCCCATTTTCTAACTCAAACTTACTTAAAGTTCCATGTTTTTGCATTTCTGCCGAAAAATCATCATCAACAGCAGTTTGACATTTATCATTTGAGTTGGATAAGTTTCCCAAGTTTTCCAATGTTACAAGTGCCAAATGATCTTCCAGAGCTTCTAAAGTATTTAGAGCTCTTGAAGACCTGTTACAAATGTTTTTGCAAATTAAATCACTTACGTTTATGGTGAGAATTAGTTTAATGTGAGCAATCTTTCTTTGTTTAGTTTCCTTGTGTATAGCAGGTTTTTGTGCTTCCAGTGTCTGAAACATAATACAAATTCTAAGTGTATCCACTGACCTATTGAAATACTTTATAGTTTGACTGTAATAGTGAGAATACTACTTAATAACTAAAATCATTGGTTAACCACGATTGGTTTATATAAAAACTTTGTCTACTCATCATCAATTTTAGCTGATATTAAAAGGCCTGCTATAGATTATCAATCAATTTTTTCACTTACTATGCAGTGTAAAAATGCATTAGGGACTAAAATATTTTGATGTAAACAAGAAATTTTGTTAGCACCACAATTGCTGTTGTTGTATACTGCTTGTTTCTTTAAATAAATGCTAAATATCAATTTTAAATAATTAATAGGTTGAAAATAAAACATCTTTTACTTGTCGTTTCTTTTAATGTAAATTAAATAATATTATTATTGTTGTTAAGAACCCCTAATAGACCTATTATCCACTAAAAATCTATCTTGCTTTTTAATACCAAGGTTATTGTTTATAAAATATTTTTCAGGGGTGTCAGTGTAAATAAAAAAAGAGATCATACTAAACTATAACAAATCAAACTGATTACTGTTTTATTAAAAATAAGTTATTCTTCCAACGACAAGTTATACAGCCTTTTCTTAATAGTCATCTGGCTGCCTAGGGCATTAGTTGACCTAGGGGTAAATTGGTTGGGGGTTTTGGGGCAAAAATGAAAACCCCCTGAGACTTGAGGCATCTATAGCATATTTCCTGTTTTACTGAAAGGGCCGCAACTTAGACTTTCTCACATAAAACGCAGTTCAACCCTCTGTTAGAACCCTGCGGGTATACAAAGACTTACGAAGAACTCAAAAATCTTCAATGAGCTTCAGCGTAGTCTCCCCTACAAGGCTATGGCTTCAGTCCCAGGAGCCCGCTGCAGATTTGAAATAATGTCAAATTCCCACAGGCCACAAATTTATCTAATACACTTTCTGCAACTTTCGTATTCTTAATTTTCCTTACTAACGACATTGCCATAAACCGGAAGACAATAACTAAAAACAGAAAGTGTAAGGGCTTGCATAAGGCAAAGCATGGAGAGAATAATTGAATGTGTCACAGCACCCTGAATCATGAATGGTTTTTTAATAGCCTCACTGACATTGAATTCCACAATCAAAATATAAACCCAGGAATACAGCAAAATGTTTTGTTTATTGAGTGGAACACTTCCAAGAGACACTAAAAAAGTGGTGAAAAATACAGAAAAAATACAGATTTGTTGCAGGAAATGTCAGCAAAAAGCATTTGCTGTGTTCAAGCATGCTATGACTAAAGGACCAAGCATGAATGGCTGTGACGCAAAATTCTAGGGGGGGAATAAACTAGTATTCACCAAGTCAGGCTAGGCCTACCCCTAGAACCGGCCACACTCAAATTTCTTCCCCGGAGTGCTCAGAAGGAGCCGAGAAAAATCCAGGGGTCGATACGAAGGTGTCACGGCTTTGACTGATCAATTTATTTAAAATTTAATCGAAGGCTCAGAGCTCTAGAAGCGCTCAGGAAATCCTGCAGACGCTCAGTAGGAGCTCTGAGCCTTCGATTAAATTTTAAATAAATTGATCAGTCAAAGCCGTGACACCTTCGTATCGACCCCTGGATTTTTCTCGGCTCCTTCTGAGCACTCCGGGGAAGAAATTTGAGTGTGGCCGGTTCTAGGGGTAG